AAAGCCAAAATACAGTTTGCTTTAAATAGACTCTTCTAACAGAAAGATGTATGAGAAAAGAAGAGCAGACACCCCTTTCTATAATTAGAAAAGTAAACAGCTCTGAAGTCCCAGTGTCTTAAGGGTGTTATTTTGTCCACTGTTCTAAGGTTGATATATTGATATTCATAGGAAAACTAAGTACACATTTGCTCTTTGTCAAACTTCAAATATAATAGGATTTGAGCATTTGTAATCTATTATGATCAGATCTTAAAAAGTCCTTTAAAATCCTCTATATTTTGACAACAATTTTCTAGGTGTTGCTGAGAGTCAACCCCAATCTCCAGTATCATGTTACCATCAATCCTGTGAATTCTGGCAGAAATATTTTAGGTCTGTGGAGCCATATAAATTTGCTTCAGCTTACTACAAGAGACTACTGATTAAATCAATCTGGAGACCCTACAAAATGCTTTTTAAAAGGCAGCTATAGAATTTCCTGACTGTGTGGCACTAGAGGATAAGTTTGGAAGCTCTGCATTAAAATGAAAGCTACTAAAAAAACAACAGAAAAAGAAAACTACTTGGAATTAGTAACATGTATAAAAATATGAATTTCATAAATATAAATCCTCTCTCCCTGCCTCCCTGATATTTATAAACATCATTCTTCTTTTTTAATATAAATCAGTGGATGGTTTTATGCTTTTAAATAATTTGGCTCATATCATATGCTCCAATAATCTCCTCAAATTAAGATAGTAAAGCATGGAAAATAGAGCAGTGATTCTATGTCATTTAAGAGTCCTGACCAATAAAGATTGTCTACTACCACGTTTTCATCTGAGATTTCTGCAGAAAGAACTTGAGATTAACTCTAATTTCTGGATAACAAAAGGAATGAATTAATAGCCTTTTGGGCTTCCCCATCTCCAAAGGCTGGTTTTATTTATGGCACCTAGAGCCCCGGGGATGGCTGTCTTCTAATATAATGACAATGAGGATTTTAATCCAATTGTGACATTGTAGGGAGTGGAGGAGGGAAGAGGTAAGAACCATAGTACCTCAATATCCAGAAGCATGGGTACACAGATATTGCCTAATATGTAGCTGATTATAGGTCTTTAAAAATAATTGTGATTAACAAGTACCTCATACTAAGATTCTGAAATCAAAAATAACTTACAAGGAAGAAAACCACTTCTCAAATGTTAACAACATAAGACCAAGGAACAAATGAATTTGTTAATATAACTACTTTAACATACTCTGATCCTAAAATACACCAAATTCCTAACAAAACCAGTTTTTCACTTTTCCCGGTTGAAAAAACAGAGACTCATTGTGTTACAAATAGCAACTCTATTTGCAAACCCTGAATAAACAAAATGTTTTATTTTGGAGAAAAAAGTGTTTCCGAGAAGTAAAACTTAAAACTTTAAACATAAACATTAATTTTAAAAATACCAGTATGATGTTAAATAATAAACAGCTCTTGAATAACCAAAATAATATGTTATTTTAAGATGTATCCATTTTCAATAGCATTCATACAATATTCATGCTGTGTGAGAGAAGATATCTATTACTTGTAAGTCTGTAATTTCATTAAAAAAGACAGACATCACTAAGGAAGTTGGTTCACAACAACTTAATTCCATGCTTAGTGTTTACTCACGGAAATAGTGACTCTTTGGTCAGCAGTATGAGCATATGACTTATAGCAACATCTTCCCAAACCTAAGCTTGGCAATGCTACTAACTCAGCAAACAATTTTGGACAGGACTTTTACAACTCCTCCATATATTTTTGTGCTATGCACGTATATGATGTGATGTGAACATACACTTTCATCTCTTTGTAAACTATTCATACCAAACACAGAGCTTAAGTAGACAGGTTAGAAACCAACTCAGTAATCCAAAGAAACTCCTATTTATAGTGACCTGAATTTGGATTCTGAAGTTTTCTATGCCTCTTACCTTAACTATTTCAACTGTCAGAGTGTTTCATATTTTATAGTACAGAATGTGAAGTAATTTATTCTACCAGTTTCTGGCCTTAATTTTAGAAACTAAAAATCTGAGTGTAATATGTTACATTAAATTTAGAGTTATCTAATAAGAGTTACAGCTGTTCTACCAATTACATGTTATAATAATTATTTAAAACTGAATCATATCCTATACTCAAAGACTGAGTAATTCTATCTACCTAAAATTTGAGAAATATTTGAGCTGATTTACAACATATAAAAATTATTAATTAAGGGGGAGTAGTGACTGTAATAAAGTACATCTTATTCATACTAATGAAAGTAAATGAAATAACATGAGGTCCACTCAGCAGTATATCATTGAAGCATCAACCCACATTTCTAAATAGCTATGCCACCAGCAGAAGATTGGAAGTAACAGTCTTTGACCTATGCATAGCCGAAAGTTTCCTAGATACCGGTTCTGTTTAGATTTCAGCATTTCCAGGTTTCTGTCTTTTCTTTCACATGTATGATTTCTGTCAGCTCTTTATGGTAGCCTGGAATCCTTTAGTTCTGCATCTGCATTTGGATATTTATTTCATATGTAACAACAAATAGTATATATAATTTAATAAACTACCAAGAGAAAATGGCCATATTTGTATTTCACACACCTAATATTTTCCACATCAAAGATAGTGGAAATGTTCACAAAAGATATTTTCATTTTACTGTTATTAAAATGATAATAACTGACCATTCTTCTCATGGAATTCTAATAACCTAATTGAAATACAAGTGTCCCATGATACATAATATCCCATGCTAATATGTTTGCCCTTACTTAATGTCAAAGTTATTTGAAGATGATTTTACTTATAACAAACAGAACACAGTGAAGCATTTATGCATAGGATAACATTCTGAAACAGTTTCTGAGGTCAACCTTGGCTTAATCTGTCTTGTGGCTGTAACTGTATCTTACTTTAAGTACAGTGATTTCCTCATAAAAGTGGCCAAATCATTTTATGGTAAAAACAAGAAAAACTACATATAGTATACACGACACAGTACAGCACTAGACAGATTTTCTAAAATAAGCACTATTTAAGAAAAATGGGATACATGTGGTTTTCAAATTTAGTTTTTCTAAGAATCTAAATCTATTATAAAGGTACATATTTTAAAGCAATAGAACTTTATAAATTTTGTATAAAGAACAGTGCAATCAAAAAGAGCACAGCAATCATTCCATTCATTATTTTTAAGTTTTCTTGGACTCTCCTTTTGAACTCAGTAGCACCTGTTGGATAATTTTTATAAATCCCTGTGGAGTAAGGAACTAGTAGTTCTATATAAATTTCCACAGACAATTTTGTAGTTCATTATGGAGTAGGAAAGTAGATATTACCTTTACTATGTTCTGTTTGTTGTAAGTAAAACCATCTTCCAATAGCTTTGACATTATAGTCTAAGTAGAAATAATACAGTAGCATAAATAAATTAGTTCTTTTACTGACCGCATAATTTGGTAGGAGGAAAATGGAAAAAAATAAAGACACAGAATAGAGAAGACAAGAATAAAGAAGATAAACACCTATTATCAGTTTTGAGGCAGCCCACATCTGCATATTATGATCAGATATTTAACACATAATAGAGAGGTATTTCCCTTGAGGTAGGTATGGGTATGAGGGCTAAAACATTAAGAAATAACATACTAACATTTGGAAGTGTGACAGAGTGTAATTAAAAGAGATGGTATTCAAAATATTTATCAAAATGCATGGGAATTAAAAAATGGTGATGACGGTAATGGTGATGGTACAGTTTCTGCTGTTACAATCTCTGTAAGATTAACTTTAAAGGTGAATGTAATTGCAAAAAAAAATGTTTGGCTTACTTTTTATTTCTTGACAGTTTGATAAGTTTATCTCATTATGCTAAAATCTTTAAAATAATATTTTGAAATAATTTTGTAACATATCGGTCCTATGTCATAAAAAAATAAATTGTGTTCCTCTAAGTGTGAGCTAGAAAACAGACAGCAGAAATATCTAAGTAGTAAGTAAAAGGACCCTGGATTTCTACTCGGAGGAGTTGGGCTCAATTCTTGATTTTCACTACTTTTAACTATGTGATTCTGAGCAAGTCTTTTAACATCACCGAACCTCATTCTCTTCACCCACATAATGGCAACATTAAGACCTATTCTAATCTACCCTCAGGAAATACTGCAAAGCTCCAAGAATAAAATGCTTTAAAAGGATATGAATATTCTGGTGAGATTTGTAATCCTTCAGCATTCTTATCAAGATTTTATTTATATACACCAAAATTTTAGAAAAGCTGATATAAACACAATTTTCCTCTTCATAGAGCAGAGTGCACAGTGTAGCACAGAATGCCATACCCTAATAGACATCTTTGAATTGTAATAAAAACAGCACAAGTGAAAAGCAGGTGGCTAATTCGCTACACTAACAGAGCCAAGATAACCTGAGGATGCTTTTCTGAATCACTGTCTTCTCATTTGTTAAATAATGTGGTATTGGATAATGAAAAATTTCCTCCCATCTCTGAAATTATTATATTAGCTGGCAAAATTCACTTTACTTGATTTCTTTAAGTCTGGAAACATATAAACTAGTTTCTGAGCTAACATCTGAGACAAGCATTTTTAAAAAACCTGTAAAACATGAGGGTGAATAGTGCTATCTATCAGTCTTTTAAATTGTACGTGTATTTTCTGTGACATTTTAATTTTACCTTCTTGTCTTGGGGGTAAATGTCTCTCCCACTGTACACTAAATGCATTAGAAGTGTGAAATTTCAGGTTATTTTTTAATGTAAATTCTCCTTTACATTCTCAGGTATTACCAGATAGGATGTTAAAGAGGCAAATTTTAAACGGCTGAACGAAATGGACTGTGGACAATGAGAACAACAGCTACATTCATAGTTTAATCAGTGAGAAATACACACATAATTAGATTATATTGCTCTAAACTGAACCTCAAGAATCAGGAATCAAATTACCTGCCTTCCCTTAAGACCCCTCTTTCCACGGATCCCAGGAACACCCTAGAATACAAAAACGAAAGTAAGTATTTGTTCCCATTTTTTCATTAGGTTGCTTGTTTTTTTGATACTGAATTGTATTAGCTTTTTATATATTTTGGATATTAAATCCTTGGCAGTCATTGTTTGCAAATATCTTCTGCCATTCACTGGATAGTCTTTTCGTTTTGGTGATGGTTTCCTTTGCTGTGCTAAAGTGTTTAAGCTTAATTAGGTCCCACTTGTTTATTTTTGCTTTTATTTCTTTTGCCTTAGGAGACAGATCCAAAAATAATTGCTATGATTTATGACAAAGACTGTTCTGCTTATATTGGAAGAGTTTTATGGTTTCAGGTCTTACATTTAGGTCTAATTCATTTTGAATTTATTTTTGAATATGGTGTGGGGAAATATTCTAATCTCATTCTTTTACATGTAGCTGTCCAGTTTTCCCAGGATCCAAGGAAGACATACAGTTGGCTAATAGGCACATGAAAAGATGCTCAACATTGATAATTATTAGAGAAATGCAAATCAAAACAACAACGAGATATCACCTTATACCTGTCGGAATGGCTGTCATCAAAAAGAACACAACAAACGTTAGTGAGGATGTGGAGAAAAGGGAACCCTTGCATGCTATTGGTGGGAATGTAAATTGGTGCAGCCACTATGGAAAACAGTATGAAGGTTCCTCAAAAAACTAAAAATAGGGCTACCATATTATCCAGCAATTCCATTCCTGGGGATATGTGTGGCAAAAACAAAAACATTAATTCAAAAAGATACATGCACTCCAATGTTCACAGCAGCACTAGTTACAATAGCCCACACATGGGAGCAATCTAAGTGTCCATCAGCAGATGAATGGATAAATATATACACAGCCACAAAGAGTTAAATTCTGCCATTTGCAGTAATGTGTACAGACTTAGAGAATATCATGCTTAGTGAAATAAGTCAGAGAAAGACAAATACTGTATGATATTCCATTTATATGTGGAATCTAAAAAATAAAGAAGTGTACATAGCGAAACAGAAAGGCAGATATAGAAAACAAACTAGTGGCTATCAGTGGGGAGAGGGAAGGTGGAGGGGCAAGATACGGGTATGGGACTAACAGGTACAAATTGCTATGTATAACACAGACCAGCTACAGGGGATACATATTTTACAGAACAGGGAATTATAGTCATTATTTTGTAATAAATTTTAATGGAGTATAATCTATAAAAATACTGAATCAAGACTTAAAACTAATATTATATCATACATGAACTATACTCCAAAAAAGTAAACACATGTTGAATCAATGAATTAGGTTTTTTTCTCAAACATCAATTTATGACATATGCCAAAGAGAAAAATAAATTATTCTTTAAACTGGTGTGATATTTAGAAAAGCTTCAGTATATTAATTTAACTCAAGTGGCCCTTTTCTTCTTCATAAGAAAATCCTGATTTTATTCAGGAATCCAACCCATCTGTACTCCAGATGGGATCCTGCCATTCCTCTGGTGATAGTTATTTGTCCAGAGGCAGCATGCAACCAAGGGTGGCACAACCAGACAAACAGGAAGTCTTATTTTCTGTACCCAACAGACAATTACCTCCTGTCTCCCTGTCTGGACATAACGCCCTTGCGCCGGCAACCTTGCAATCACGTGGATAAAGCCAACATCAGACAAGGCAAAGCAGAAGGAGGGTGACAGCATCACTGTGCTCAGGATCATTCTGTGCCTAGATCCCACCTAACCTATGGATTCCAGGTCATGTAAGCAGCAGTAAGTAGGTCATAGGACTTAAGCACTCGGTCTTTAGAGCCAGAATATCTACGTTCAAATCCTGGCTCTGCTCTTACTACCTGTATACAGTCTTAGGTAAGTCCTTCTCTCTGTGCGCCTCATTGTCTTCATCTATAGTGAGACTAATGATAGTATCTTGCTGGGTGTTGTGAACATGAAAGGAGTTAATTCATACGAAATGTTTGCATGATGCCTTGTACATATATAACCATTCGATAAATCGTTTGCTATTATCATTATCATCATTTATTTAAAAATTCTTCATTTTAAAGCCGGTTTGAGTTAGGGCTTTCTGTCACTTGCAGTCCAAAGCATACTAATTGATCAAATCCCTTGAGACCTACAATCATTTTTATAAGCCTTAGAGACTAAGAAATCTGTCAGAATCTTGTAGCTTGGAATTTCTCTATATACAGATAAGTTCGCAGATACCACTGGTTGAAGTAATCCATTTACTTTCAGCTCAACAGTGCTTAGTATTCACCTAATGTCTCTATCAAAAGGAGCCCAAAGATGAGTAATAGGATTCATTTCATGAGGATTTTATACATCTTTACATAATATAGCTGGGCATTTAAGAAATATGATCATTATTTTCTAAACTTGAGTAGTTTCAGAAACCCCAGCAGAAAACCTAAGGATATAGAAGTATTTTTTCATATATATATGCATACGTATATTATTCACTTCGAGAAAGGACTTTTTCTTTGCATTTGTTTTCAGGAGTGATTAGCACTGTATTATTTTCATTCATTTTTCTCTACTTAAATGTTTCATAACATAATAACAACACCTAGTTAGCTATATCATTCATGGTTTTAATGAGAATTTTGAAGTAGTCAAATAATGGTAGGCACACTATCACAGAACGTTCTTATACGTACGATTTGAGACAGTCAAAATTTTCACATAAACTGATCAAAATGAGTGAGTATGATTATAGGCACTGGGTTTACTGATGGTCAGTGTTAACACTGGGATCCTTAAACCCAAGATGACGACATTTCGCCAGGACACGTAACTTTGGTTTAGTTACTACATCAATTGCTAGAAATAAATCCATACCAAAGGGTCAGGAAAGGACAGGATCACAAGCAGCAGAGTAATTAACAATGTAAACTGTACACACATTCCTTTGGGCCAATAAGAAGCAGTTCAATTCTTTGCACTACAGATTAGAAATGTCATCTGTAAGTCTGCTGTACCATGTGGCAGTTAAGTGGCTGAGTTGTGCGATCACACTGAAGGTATTTTTTTGATGTGAAAGAAATGACTTCTATGCTTACTAAGGGAGTAGCTTCACCTCACCTCACCAAAGGAGAATGATTTTGATTGCATTATAGCACATTTAGGCTCTTGGTATTTCTTCTCTGTGAGGGCATTCACAAGTAATTATAAGAAGATATGATTTGATTCACTCACTCAAAAAAAAAATCTATACATCTGAAATATTCATCTAGCAAAGAATAATCTAATTTACTTTCATGTGCAAAAATTAGCTTCCAGAAATAAATTTTTGCCTGAACAAGCACTTGTATAATAATAGTTAAATACTAAATTCTGAATATGATTCCCTGCTTTCAAACCTGAGAAAATGCTAACATTGTTTGATACTAATTCTTTGAATTCATATTGACAGAGTGAAAACGAAGAAATGCAAACAGAAATCACTGAACTGCATATGGCACTGAAAACTAGGCATGATGCTGCTGGAACGTCAGAACTCTGTAGGCATCTTGATTCATTTTTATAAGTAGAACAAACCGTTTTGCAAAGGTTCTATCTTTATTCTCAAGTACCTACATTTATGAACAACTATCTTCCGTTACTAAATTAAATAAAATATATATCGTCTGAGGCTTATTTACTACAAGTTGTAAAATACAAGCCCTGTCAAGAGCTTATACTCAAAGATCAGTTACAAAATAAAATTTTCATAATTTGATAATTTCAATTTGTGCTTTTAAAGTGTAAATTTAAAATAGCTAACCATAAATACTTATATAACCTTACTTCCTTAAAACAAAACCCAGTAAAATTCAAGACAGTCTAATTATATTCCTGGCAGGTTATTTTTCTTAAAGCTGGATTGTTTCACTCAATTAGACTACCTGCCTGACATCTGGGTTTATGACCCTTGTTATACTTTATCTTCAGTATATCACTTTAGAAATAATATTTGAAGGAAACAGACTTACTCTTTCTCCTTCCAGTCCCAGTTGTCCTACTTCTCCAGGAGAGCCAATGAAACCCTTAAAGTAAGCAAATAATCTTTATATTATTTCATTTAAATATTCACCCCATAAATAATTCTAAATAGAGACACTTAAAATTTGTTCATAGTAGTATAAAATTATAAGGCTTAACAGTATGAATAACTTCCCTCACCTTATTGCTTTTCTTCTAGAAGTTATAGATCAATCTTTTCATTAAAAGAAAAATGAGTAAGGAACATAAGACATGGTGGCTAACAAAAACCAGCAAGTGCCAGTTCTTTTCTGCACTGAATTTACAGAGGGCAGAAAATGTATACAATTAACTAAAATGTAAGGCAGAATGGAGATATCCAAAGAAGTATGGAGGAGGAAGAGATTCATTCCAATGTGGAAGAGGTGACGGTAAAGAAAGTTGCAAAGGAGACTGCCATTTGGGAGAGGTCTATGGAATAGATAAAAATCTTGATGAGCAGAGGCTAGAGAAAGAACACTCCAAGTAGAACCACAGCAAGCAGAGGCAAGATAGAGAGAACTCAGGGAGCATTTGTAAATGGTTAACTGACAGCTTCTTATATGTAAGATGCTTTGGAGAAGAGCAGACCCACTGTGCCTTCATGCAGAGTCCCGCTGGTCTGGGAAACAAGGGGTACATACAATTAGCAATGCAAAGTACTTTACCCTAACATACTTCAGTTGTATCTCACAAGGGGCAAACAGTAACCTATTTCATCAATTTAATAAATAAAGTCTACAGTAGTTTGAAGAATAGATTAAGGAGAGCCTTTAAATTTCAGGCTAAAATTTGTTGTCTTTATATTTTAGACAACTGGAAGCTACTAGACTTCAGGGGAGTGTGGTACTGCCCTGATGTTAAGCTGTTTTTCTAAAATATTAATCTGTAGACAGGATACAGAATACACCTGAGACAGGAAACACTGAATGTAGGAAAGCTTGTTAGAAGGTTATTTCAATGGTCCAAATGAGTCTGGATCACCGATTCACAAAACATTATTTTAGTACCCACTGTGTGTCAGGAACTGGGATTATAAAAAATGAATATGAAAATCAGTGCTTCCAAGAAGTTCATAGTTTATTAGGAAAATGAGTCATACAAATAATTGCAGTATCATATGATAATTAAGACATGATTCTGTGATATGTGGTATGATAAATACAAGATACAACAGAAACTCTGAAGGCAGAATGACCAACTTGGCCTAGAGGAAAGATTTAGGAAAGCTTTACAGAGGTGGCAACATTTGAGCTGAGTCTTGAAGGAAAGGAAAGGCATTTTATGCAGGGCTAACAATTTGCCATCAATCAGTCAATCAATCAATAGAAATAAAATGACATGGCATTTTTGTAGAATTGCAAATAGTTCTCTGTGACTGGTAGGCAAGAAGTAGGGTTACAAAGGTAGCAGTGGCCACATATGAAAAGTCTTTAATGTAATGATAGAAAGTTTGACATTTATACTGACTCATCAAAAAAATGTACACATAGTTTTTATATAATCAAATTTAAAGTTTATAAAATTCACTTGGATTACAGTGGTTCTCCAGTCTATCTCTAAGGACTGAGGCAAAGATGATTCTAAGGTTTACACTGGATCGATATCAAATGGTAACTACCGACAGAAATTTGGAAAACAAATAGGACAGCTGAGTTTAGTAGAAGAGGATGAGTTTTGTTAGTCATTTGGGATTGTGGTGACGATGAGGCATTCAAATGTAAATGTCTTTGCAGAGAACTGGAGACGTGAACTCACAGAAAGAGCTCATAGAGCAAGGTAAGTTCTGAAGGGCAGGTGGGTCAGAAGCCTTATAGGTGGATTTGTGGTACTAATTTATGACCTTGGTTTCCACTGGGATGGATAGGAAGATGTACCCTAGGATTCCCTTGGACTCAAGGTCATGTACGTAACAATTTGGAGATGGCCCCAGCCAATTTACCATTGGTATGAGCCCAGTGGGTCAAGAGATCTGTATTCTGCTGGTATGAACACTTAGCAGCTATTTTTGTGTCTTCAATGGGACTGCAGGATATAATTGGCCATACTGAAGTTAACAAAATTTACTCAACAGGCTTTGAATGATAGCAATCAGGTTATTAGCCTATTGAATTCTGAGGTCTCTCAGATGAGAAAAGCAGTGTTGCAAAGCCACATGGCACTTTACATTCTTATAGCATCCCAGGGAGGCCTCTATGCCATAATTCAAACTGAATGCTATGTTTTCATACCCAATGAATCCTCTAACATAACACATGTAATGAATCACATGAAAAATCAGATTTCTGCCTTCCTAGTCTTGACAATATCTTCAAAAACTAGTTTGGCATAGGAAGTTCTTGGCTTAAATATTTACTTAGAACTCTATTAATGCTATTAGGTATATTGTTTGTATTTTGCCTGTTTTACAAGATTATTGTTTGTTGTTTTACCAAATGGGTGATTCATCCTCCAGTAAAAATAATGGTCACTAGGTGACTTAAAGCAGTTGACCAGATATATATTTCTATATGAGACAATGATTGCAATAGTGTAACTCTAGATATGGGAAGAAACAAGAGGCAATTTTTTCCTGGACGATGACAGACCAGTAAGATAGGTGGTCCAGAGGCTTTGGGCTACTGTTAATAAGGGCACATTGAGTAGCCTATCAACGAAACCCTGTCTTGACCTAGGAATAAGCACCCCTAGCACCATGGGGCAAAATAGTCATGAAACACCTCCCAGACCATGGTCAAGTTTATGACCATGAGGGATCCCTGCCAACTAAAAACTTGGCATTTCCCATCTGCCCCTACAACAATTAAAGTACAATCACAAGCTGCTGTAGCCACTGACCTTTAGCACACCCCAAAAGGAGTTCAGGGTGGAGATAAGGAATGAGGCACTCTGTGCTCTCAGGAAAACTGGCAGAACAGGCCTTATGATAGCCAGATATTTTCAGAAGATTTTATAAGCCCAGATTCTTTATTTCCCCGTGTCTAGAAAAGTACTAAAATCATTAATGGAGCCATCTGCTCCTCATGACTACCAATAACCTTCTGCAAAAATGCGTGCTTGATTGCATGGATCGCCCTTCACCAAAATCACATTTATACTCACCTTCCTTCCCCACTTCCTCTTCAGACAGTTACTCAGAGCTAGCTGAAATGCTGTTTCCAGGGCTCTAGTCCTCATTTTGCCCCAAATAAAACTTAACTCACAATTCTCACATTGTGTGATTTTATTTCAGTCAACAAGTTAATGTTCTAAAGTCCACATTTGAGACCCTTTGTGAATGTGACACCTAGAGAAATAGCTCTCCTGAATCTTCCCGCACTCCCAAAGGAAAATTTTAAAAAAATAAGTCAATCAAAAAGATTAGTTATTTAAAAAATGCTTTTATGAATTTGGCCTTCAAAACCTTAAAAAAAAACTTAAAAAGGGTTACAATCAGGACAATAATTTTCAATACAAGTGAAAAAGCAACCAAAAGATGTGTAATGTAGTACAAAAATGACACAAAGAAGAGCTTAGAAAAGTGACAGGCCTTCACAGAAGCAAGATGAGAAAACGCAGTAAGAGAAAACTGTGCAGTGACAACTAACAGGTGTTGGAGCTCAGCTCCCGTGCGGAAGAAACTCCCAAATTCCAATAATCATGGTAGACACTGCGTCGAAAGTGCATGCCATGTGCACTTTAAGAATGTTAATTAAGCTCGGGTAATGCTTACAACTACCTAAAAGGTAAGTTTCATTATCACCTTTTAATAAGATGAGTGAAGCACAGAAGGGTTGAGTGACATTTAAAGTAACCAAGCTAGTGAAGGAAAGGTTAAGGAAAACAAAAACAAAAACAAAAACACCACGCCTGTCTAACTCCAAAACCCATGTTCTTGCCCATTAATCTCTTTTCTGAATCCAGGTCAACACGTGTTTCCAGGCAGTTTTTAATAAAAAAATACATGACTTTCCCCCACTGCATTTTCACTTAATGTGAGGGCAGCGACAGCACGGGATAATGGAAGAGTGCTGAGCTAAAGGTGAGATATACCTGTTCTCCTATTTCACGAGACTGATAGCAAAATAAAAGGAGACAATACATATGAAGTATTTGAAATGTTTAAGATTTTTTTAATTAAGGCATCATTATAGCATATATTGCTTGAATACTTCTTGTTTTCCTTATTTCAAAAAGGTATTTTAGATAATATAAGGCACGGATGTAGATTCTGGAAAATAACAGGCTATTAAAAATAGAGAACTTTAAAGACAAAATTTTTAGTTTATTTTTACTAATTTTTCCTAGAACCAGCTTTGATTTTCATTTGTGGCACACTACGTAACACACCACAGTAAGCTTTTTTTTTAACTCCCTCAATGATTAAAAGTGGCTAACAATTCCTTTAACAGTTGGAAATTTAATGGTATATTCTTGATATAAGTTTATTCCCTTCTCTGCAGATATTTCTTTACCCCAGATAGTTTTTGTATTATTATCTCAGCCTTAACTAACATGAATTTTTTTGCATCTTCATGTTTCTTTCATCACGATTTCTTAGGTCTATACATATTCACATATAAATACTACTACAAATGTTTATAGAGCATATTTCTAACACATCAGACATTTTGCTAGAAGCTAGCAAAATAGTATAAATGATGTAGGAACTATCAAAGGATGATGTAAAACCTACCAATATAAGCCTACTTTCTGTGGCCTTCACAGCGAAAATATCTGTTAAATAAATGTACTTCTTTCTAGGCTACACCCGCATTACATTCAAAATTCCTATGACAGTGTGAAAATAAGTATTCTGTATACTTCATTCTACTTCTATGTGAGCATACTTAACAAAATGATGAAAATGCTTACTTACTCGTACACCTTTAGGACCTGGATTGCCTTCTGGTCCAGCTAAACCCTAGTGTGAACAAACGGCATCATCGTCATACTACAGTACTTTTTAAAGAGTTGTTGATAAATCGGGTAATTAAAAGGGCATATAAAAAGGTATCAGTTTCACAAGTATAAACTTCAGAACTCTATATGCTTAGTGAAGATTATACACATTCAAGGAAGTTTAGAATTTCAAAACCAAAAGAGGCACTGTATATAATATATACAGAAATGTATTTTCAATGCCCAAATAAAGTAGATTAACACATTGTCAGACACAAAATTTTTAACTTACTTCTCACTGGAAAATTGTTCTTTTGAAACACTTCTAATCAACTATCTAAAATATATTCCAACTTTAAAAAACACATTTTTAACTTCAGATCAATGTCCATATGTTTGAGTATTTATACTTTATACTTTTCAGATAACACTAATCATTGCTTGGTGGTAAGACTCATATAGTACACTACATGTATTTTTAAAGGCTTTAAAAATGAAATTTTTTAACAATAGATTATTTTTTGGCATTTTTAGTTCCCTAATTTTTGAGAATAAAAAAAGATATTTGACATAAATGTAGTTTCCCAGCATGCTAAATGAATAATTAACTTCAAGAGTAAGTAATCAATTCATAAAAGCCTAAGAAAGAAAACTTGTTCTCTTATCAGTCTACATGAAGTAGCTAGAGAAAGTTAGACCCTTGAGAGAAATAAACGTGAAGTGATTAGAATAAATTTTCAGAACAGCATACAAAGACTTGAATCCAGTTCAGATAAGTACACAGACAGTGGTATATGTAGCACTGCCAACTGTGTCCCAAGCTTTTATAATTGTATTATTAAAAAGCTTTGCTTATCATACCAAGTCTTAACTCTTATTATTGCTTCACTACAGTCAGTGGCCATACTGTAAAAATCAGCGGCAAGGCTGCGGTAACATCTATTAGCCCACTGGGCATTCTAATTTAGAAGGCTCTACTGTATAAAGCATCAAACCTGTTAAAACACTGCACTCCCATTTTAAACAAAATTTTCTGCAGTAAAATTTTTGAAGGATTTTTCCAATTTTGTCAAAATTATTTTGCTACAATTCATTATTTAATAAAAATAAACCGATTATCATTTGAACATTAACTCTTGAAATCAGAACATACAATGTATTAACCAAGAGAATATAAAAGGAGAAGTATAAATATAGTTACCTCACCTGCCTGCCAGGGTAACCACGTGAACCAGTATTACCAGTGAATCCTGGAATTCCCTAAAAGGAAAAAAATAATTAAACAATACAAAAAAGTCAAAAGAAGCCCAAGGGAACAAATTTGGTGCATTCATAATACTCAAATTTGGAAAGAGTTTTTCCCACATAAAAATGCTACAGGTTCTGCACATGGCTTATGTGATTGAAATAATCTATTTGAAATAAAAATGAAATAAAATTGCTAAATAAAAATAAATAAAACTGTTAGACTAGAGACCCAAATGAGACACTGATTATTAATAACGATAAATCTAAGATGAACAAATCCAGTGCTGCATACATTTTTAAAAACATTTATTCTTGAGAACAAGGTGGTACATTTCTTAATAACCAGTATCTTTTTGGATTGAATTCCTTCTTGTCTCGGTCATCCTGCAACTCTCAGCTGTCTGAGCATGAGCCTTCGAAGACTAAAAGGGGCAGTGAACTTCAAAACCAACCTCTTCTTCCTTCCTATAGTTAAGTTACCCTTATAGCAAGTCTGATTAAGTAAATGGATATTAAGTGGTAAACACCTGCATCATGACATAGGTCTACCTAAAAATTAGCTTCACAGTTTTGGATAGGAAACTCATTTGGAATTGACAATTGTTTTTTCTTTCTTTCTTTTTCTTTCTTTCTTCTTCTTCTTCTTTTTTTTTTCCAGGGGGAAGGTAATTAGGTGCTTATTTATTTTCAGAGGAGGTACTAGGGATTGAACCCAGGACCTTGTGTATGCTAAGCATGGGCTCTACCACTTGAGCTGTACCCTTTCCCCTTGAATTGACAACTTTGTATTACTGATTTAAAACAAAAGTTTGCTCAATCAAGGAAAGCTGATATATGGGGACGCAAAGGCCTAAGAAAAGAAATTTGCTGCAGAACTGTGTGGAAAAGTACGAAGAAATATCTTCACTTTTTTTTTTACTTTCTTCCACTGATACATTATTCATACATTTATTCAGTTTATTCAGAGTTTAGGACTACTAAGTAATTTATGAACCAAGGAAATGCCAGAAGAATGTATGCTGAGCTGTCTTTACTTAACCTTCAATGGTGACATTTCATAGATTCTTTATTATGTAAAATTCATTCCCTGTTTATTGCTTGTAAAGGAGATAATAAAAGGTACTGGCCCTTTGCCTCTCTGCTCTGAATTATACAGAAGAGTGTTACCTCCAGTTTAAGTATGAAAACGCTATAAAATTCCTAAAATTTGGAAAATCTAGAGAAAAAACAGACCAAGTAAAAGGCAAATTGAGGATCATGGTTGAGTTTTTGCCTTCCCATTCTGTTAGACTTCTAAGTTCCTGATATATCCTTCTCTCCGCTTTTCTCAGAATCCATCTTTCAGTTTTGTTTTCTCTCATTTCTCGCCCTTCTCTTCACCTTCCTTCCCTTGCTCCAACAATTACCATTTACTGAGCACTTTTTTATGTGCCAATTGCTATGCCAAGCACTTTTCATCTACTTTCACCTATGAGATAGCCAGCATTTTCCTCATTCTACATTTGAAGAAACTAAGATACAGAGAAGTTACAAAACTTGCCCAAAGATGGCACAGGGAGTAAGCACCAGATTCGGGATATGAACCTAGACAATCTGACAGAAGTTGTCACGTGTGTGAATGCGCACATGCACACACACACACATATACGCACACATGCACACATATACATACAGACACATATACGACAGTAAACAATTAAACAGAATGTTGAATAAACAGTGGCCTTCTGAGAATCACATAAAATTCTCATCTACATGTACAGAGATTATATCCTATGAATTTCAGAAGCCGTATTTATATATATTACCTCATTAATATTATATGTAATATATATATTATCCTTATAATAACATTTACTGAGCACCTATCATGTGCCAGGCACTATTTCAGGTATATTGTTTAATTTGCTCCAGCCCTATAAGGTAGATATCATTATCGCTATTTTACAGATGAGAAAAATGAGACATAAGGCATTTATCACCAGTGGAAAGTTAACTTGGCTAGTAAATAGGAAGCCAGAATTTAAATCAGCAAGTCTAACTCCAGAGACCACCATTCAAGGCTGCCTCCCTAGTGCAGGCTTAAAGTGCAAATAACTTCCAGTAGGACTCCAGGGAAAGCCCTCTAATTATGAGATTTGTTTCTGTCTATTTACAACTGCTTCCTCAATTCCCCATCCAATTTTGAAACACACAGGCCTATATCCAGATATCCACAAAACCTTACCCTTGGGAATGCCAATAGTAAGGAGTTTTTGCTCTGTAGTCACTACCTTGCTAACGCCAACGCCAACCACCACCCCTTTCATTTGTTTCCTAGCCAAATCAGGTCACTGGACCTCAATTAAAAAGCATTCTAAGACATAAATAAAGTCTGATTTTCAATGGATTTTCATAGAGGGTGTTAAGACAACACGTAGAGATATAACACATTCCAGCTGCACAGAGAAATACACAAAAGGACTCCACTCCATGACTAAGTACTTCTCTGCTGGAATGCAGTAGCAGTAAACAAAGTAAACAAGACATGAGGGTAGTCTGATGTGGCATAAACATATTCTAAGCCAACCACACCCTAAAATCACTTGGACAACCACAGAAGCTCAAAAGAAACTCAAAACCAATATTACAACTTAATTCACTCTGCATTTAAAAATGACTTTTAAAAAGAAAAAGGCTCACTAAGCTCTGCAGATTGAATAGAGGAATTTACACAAAAGTTATATCTCTACCCCTGGAAGAAACAGGAACAGTAAACCTGCCCCAATCCCACTTCTCATTCCAAGAGTCAAAGTCTGAGTCAGACTTCATGGAGAGCCCCAACTCAGCCACCATGGGGCTCCCCATACCTTAGCTTCTCATTAGTAAAACAAAATAATATCTAGGTCATAGGAGAAAACAGAATAATGTGTAAAAACATATTTAAGATGGGGGTAACTGCAGCAATTCTTAGCGATGCTGGGCATTTAATCAGTTAACAGTTAACATATGGAAATATTCAATAAATAACTATACTGCTGGAAGTTCCAGTTAACAGTAGTATAGTTGGGCAACTCATAAGCACTCAGTGAACAACAGCTCTCATTACTAGAGTTTGCATGAGATGATATAATTATTTTTCCAAATGTTTGTTGGCCTATTTATAGATATTTATAAATTTTCCAGAAGTGAATGTCTCCTAGCCAATTAGTTATGTGCCTCTTAATGTCCCTAGTGTTTCCGCAGTTAAAATGCAAAATGCTTTTAGTTGTTCTTCAGAGTTATCACCAATTTTGCCTTTTTTTCTAGAAAGAAATAAAAAGAAAGCAAGAACTGACTGCAAAATACTTTTTCCAACCTTTAAAATTGATTTTAGATTCTTCTCAAATCACATCACCCTCAGAACAGTGACATGTACACTGACAGCATCAGGCTATCGAGCAGTTGCAGAGACCCGGTCAGCACAGACAGATGGTCAGTTTTTCACTTACTTGTGATGTGTCAGGCTTTCTTCATTGGAATCCACACATTTCTGCCAAAACAGTATTCTAGGAATTTTTTTTCCCTCCCCAGGAGCTAATCCCTCCTGCCCTTCTGATTTTTTTCCCATAAATGCTCAAATGCTTTTCAGCACTTGTTTGATCTTCAGGAAACTGGGACTGTATTGCTACAGATACACACATCACTTTGCTTGCCATGTCTACTAATTAGTAATCTTGAAAAATTGTGCCTCAGGAACTGAACAGAGTTTACTGTCCTTCTTAGCATAAATTAAAGAGAAATTTGGCTTTATTTCTTCACTTATCTTTCCCTTAGGGATAATCCATCACTTTTCTTTCTGGAGCTCCCTTTAGGGCTTCCCGAGGCTCTCTGCTAAATCTCCAATAACGGTATTTTTCACCCTAGTTAGTATCGAATCCCCTACCCTCTTCACTGATTTATTCATACTGGCCTAGTACACCCTGTATTGAAAACAAGATATATGGCTTTATTCTTTCCTGCGACATAATTATTTTCAGGTGGGAGAGAGAAGGAATAACATGATCAATAACTAAATAGTTCCCAAACATTTTAAATACGTGTGTATGAATAGGATGGACGACAGACAGCATACGTGCCATTCTAATTTGGATTGTTATTAAAATCTACTTGCATTCCCTCTTGCAAAGGTAGGGACCTAATAGTTATGAATAGGCTTTGGAGAGCAGGCAAGCCCCTGAAACTCAAAAAAAACAAACAAATCAGGTGTGTGTGTGTACGTGCGTGTGTGCATGTCAGTGCATGAACTGTGCACGGATAATCTGGGGAAGCGGTTGTTCACAGCATTTATGAGATCCTCACAGGGGCTGGTGAACCACAAAAGTTTAAGAACTGCTGGTTTGGAGCATGTTAGGCAGATACTGAAAGTCAGTCTCAGGTATGAAAAAAAAAAACTGTAATAATCAATTAAAAGTCTGTCCTGCACTAAACAGAGTAAAAAATCACTGAGAAGAAAAACTGAAAGAACGACTGGGGAAAAATCATCTCTCCGTAGAGTTCCCGACTGTGTCTTTTTCACTGGAGAAGGTGTAAGTGCTGTAAATGAAGAATACTTACTTGTTCACCTCTGAGTCCTGGGAGCCCTGGATAGCCTTTGAGACCCTGCAAGGGTGAAGGTGAAGACATGCTGTGAAAAGTAAACCCATTTGAGCCAAACAACTAAATAATGGTTCTCAGTTATCTTTTACATTCGGTTTTCTCATCAATACAAATGTAATTCTTACTAATCTATTTCTTATAATCCCTTTAAATAAAATTCTGATTTTTATTACAGAATAAATTTCCTATTAATAATTCTTAATTTATCTGGAGTGTTATTTAAATGATTTGCTATTATTTAACTAAAACGGTAGCACAGTAGTAAATAAAAATAGCATCTTTTATTAAAGGCTGGTGTCTAGCAATGGATCTGCTAAATTCTGCTGAAGCTTTTTTAAAGTTGGTTTGAGTTCATTGATGCTGAAAAAAAATGCTCTCAGCCATAATCTGTTTCCATTTTTTTTAAAAGGCTGGTATCTAGCAATGGATCTGCTAAATTCTGCTGGAGTTCTTTAAAAGTTGGTTTTAGTTCATTAACGCTGAAAAAATTGCCCTCCGTCATAATCTGTTTGTAATTATTGAAAAACTGGACCATATTCAGGCAGTTTCTCTAATGTAAGTGACTGTCATAACACTTCATGAATAAAACTAAGACAAATGAAAGAGACTGCTCACAGGTCCATCAAAAGGGGTTTTATAAAACTAAGAAATTAGTACCAAATGTTATATGTCAATCATACCTCAATTTAAAAAAAATCAGGAACAAAAATTTTCCAAACAAGAATCAAAATCAAATCTTAATCTCTATAATTAACACCCAAAGATATAAAAAATATAATATGCTTTATCCACTAGAAAGATCTTCTATGAGCACACGGAAGGAACCTCAAAGAAAGGACAGGAAGAAAGGACACTTTGAAGCTTACTTGTATAGCTTGAATCAACAATTAGTAAACTAACCTGCTGATACTAGAATTTGGCCTACATAAGAGAATAAGAAAAAGTTCCTTTTTAAAAGAAACTCTTAGGATTTTAAGCAAACCTCAAAAACCTGAAGTAAATTATAGCTTACAAATATCAAAAACTTCAAATTAATATACGGCAAACTGAATATAAATGTTTGAGCTTTCAGGATATAGAGTAATGGAGTGAAGAGTCATTCAGGATTAATTATTGAGGGTTTATCAACTCGGATTAATGAATTAGAGAAAGAAATGATGCTCTGATTAGACAATAGGGAAATTAGAAAGGCTTCTATTTGAAAAATAAGAAAATGATTTAAGGAGCTTTTGAGATGATAAACTTAAAAAGTAAAACATTTAAGTAAGAGAGGCCTTTTGGGAACCAGAGAGAAGACTGGAAAACATAAGAAAGGGAGTTTGGAGACAAACATTTTTTGTGTAATCTGTACTGTTATATGTGAGCACATTAGTAACAAGGGATAACAGAAGGAAAAAAGCAGGAGGGCAGAGGAAAAGACCTGTCCTCTGGGAGCTCTGTTCTTTCGTGATTAGGCTCTTAGAGATCAGCAAGTGGCCGTGAGAAAGAAGAGGGCAAAAAGAAGGAAGGAACAAAGAAACTTCAGTGAGCTATGTGCCAGACCTCATGCCAGCCACGTCTAAATACCCGACCTAATTCTATGGCAATCCCGTGAAGAAGGCATCTTTCCCATTTTTACAGATAAGAAAACTAAGCTCTGAGAAATAATTTGACCAAAGTCATGTGGGTAGAAAGGTGGAATCACGCTGGCTTGATAGACTTATCAAGAACTGAGTAACCTGCCCTTCCATTTCGTTTATGTGCCTACATTTGTCTGACTCAAACGTGGCCTGTCCTCATTCTCATCAAATGTTCCAGCACTAGTTATAGATGACCAAGATAAATCAACACGCCGTATTTCATAAATCATGGTATTCTCAAAGTTACATTTACCAATAGCATGTAGTAACCCACAATTTCACTGAGTTTACACTTTTTTTAAAGATAGCTGAAGATCCGCCTAATGACTAAATATGAGACATATTGTTCTCAGCTTTCCAAGAGTTACACAAAGCTAAGTCTTTTCACTTTTAATAACGGGAAATAAGAAAGGTCCTCAGCCCTAAGACAGTGGGGGTGGCTCCCTGGGGCAAGGCAGCAGCCCCAGGACGGAAGCTGTAAGCCTGCAGGGGAGCGTCAGGGAGAGGAGGAGTGAGGAGCCAGGGGAGAGGCACACAGGTCGACAAACTGCCATCGGCCTATTACCTCTTTTTTTCTTTAAAGTGCGTGTCCATATATTTACTTCCTTATTTTTATTTCTGTGAACCCTCGAGTCTAGCTACGTGCTTCCCTTTCTCTATCTGATTCTCTGACCAGAGTTTCTTCCCTCCCCAGTCCACGGGGAAAGAGAAGGCTGTGGTGGTACAATTCTTAGCTTACTCTCCTGAAGCACTTTATAACCATGAACTAGACATGCTGATCGTAATGTCTTCCATATGTACAGTTCCCTTTGAAGGGATTCTTCCTCAGCCAGAGACTCTGATAAGAAGGCAGCACCGAACAGTCACGATCTTTTCTTCATGAGCTCACTCCTGCTCCACTGCAGCCACAGGAGACGGCACTTGATCTAACGGAAGCCAACACGAAGTCTGGCCAGTAGCCTGAGGTCACTTGGAATGAAGAGTTCTGCCTAAATAGGGACAAGCAGGGCCAACCAAATTCTTTTTAAAATTAAGTTTAACTAGAAGGGAAAGGAAAGGAAAGGGAAGGAAAGGAAAGGAAAGGAAAGGGAAGGGAAGGGAAAAGGAAAAAGGAAAAAGGAAAGGAAAAAGGGAAAAGGGAAAGGGAAAGGAAAGGAAAAAGAAAAATAAAGGAAGGGAGGAAAGGAGGGAGGGAAAGAAAGAAAGAAAAAGAGAGTGAGAAAGAGAAAGAAAGAGTCAAAGAGTGAGAGAAAGAAAGAAAGGAAGGAAGGAGAGAAGGAAGAAAAGCAAGAAAAAAAGAAGAGGAGGGAGAAAGAAAGAAAAGAAGGAAGGAAGGGCGGGTTGATTGAGGTACTTTGCTGTAGCTGGAAAGATTTACCAAAAAAAAAAAAAAAGGGTAAGAGGAAGAGAAGCCAAAATGTAAGTAAAAAATTTAGAGTAAGCAGAAACTCTATTAAGAAAGAAAGTTGTCAGAGGAAAGCCAGATAACGCAAAAAGGCAGACGCAGAGTAGATGAGAAGCAATACAAATAGAAAAGAACAGAAAAAGACCCACAGATGAACGCTGAGACTCTCAGAGCTGCTTTGAATCATCGCCTGTCCCCAAGAGGCCAGGTTACATTACAGTGCCTATTTTTAGATTCCACGGGTCCCTGGTTTCCCTTAATGCTGTAGAGAGAATTGAAATAATTCTTCCTTGAAATAGCGTAAGTATCCATTCTTTGCAATCAAAAGAGCCTAAGTAAAACAGAATGTTTTGGGTTTGGTTTTGTTTACTGCTAATAATGAAAAGATCAAGCACACTGAGTTCTAGACCCAGTTTTGCCACTAACCAGTCATGAGTTTCAAAGTCTTCATTTGTAAAATGACAGCAGTGAATTGAATTATTGCTAAATTTTCTCTTAATGCCAGCATTCTGTGATT